CCGGGTCTGTACACCCACTGTGCCCATTATGAGGGTTCCCACCCCCTTGTGATGAGTTCCCGGGTCTGTACACCCGCTGTGCCCATTATGAGGGGTTCCCACCATCCCTGTGCTGAGTTCTTGGGTCTGTACACCCACTGTGCCCATTATGAGGGGTTCCCACCATCCCTGTGCTGAGTTCCCGGGTCTGTACACCCACTGTGCCCATTATGAGGGGTTCCCCACCCCCTTGTGATGAGTTCCCGGGTCTGTACACCCACTGTGCCCATTATGAGGGTTTCCCACCATCCCTGTGCTGAGTTCCCCGGGTCTGTACACCCACTGTGCCCATTTTGAGGGGTTTCCCACCACCCCTGTGCTGAGTTCCCAGGTCTGTACACCAGCTGTGCCCATGGTGAGGGGTTCCCACCATCCCTGTGCTGAGTTCCCGGGTCTGTACACATGCTGTGCCCATTATGAGGGTTCCCACCATCCCTTGTGATGAGTTCCCGGGTCTGTATGCCCGCTGTGCCCATTATGAGGGGTTCCCACCATCCCTGTGATGAGTTCCCGGGTCTGTACACCTGCTGTGCCCATTATGAGGGGTTCCCACCCCCTTGTGATGAGTTCCCGGGTCTGTACACCCGCTGTGCCCATTATGAGGGGTTCCCACCATCCCTGTGCTGAGTTCTTGGGTCTGTACACCCACTGTGCCCATTATGAGGGGTTCCCACCATCCCTGTGCTGAGTTCCCGGGTCTGTACACCCACTGTGCCCATTATGAGGGGTTCCCACCCCCTTGTGATGAGTTCCCGGGTCTGTACACCCACTGTGCCCATTATGAGGGGTTCCCACCATCCCTGTGCTGAGTTTCCCGGGTCTGTACACCCACTGTGCCCATTTTGAGGGGTTCCCACACCACCCGCTGTGCTGAGTCCTTCCCGGGTCTGTACACCAGCTGTGCCCATGGTGAGGGGTTCCCACCATCCCTGTGCTGAGTTCCCGGGTCTGTACACATGCTGTGCCCATTATGAGGGGGTTCCCACCATCCCTTGTGATGAGTTCCCGGGTCTGTATGCCCGCTGTGCCCATTATGAGGGGTTCCCACCATCCCTGTGATGAGTTCCGGGTTTCCCGGGTCTGTACGCCCGCTGTGCCCATTATGAGGGGTTCCCCCGTTGTCCCTGTGCTGTCCAATATCCAATGCCAATCCTGGTAACAAATGGCTGTTTTTTAACCATTGCTCCCACCACCAGTTTCTGGGGGGCTTCCATACTCCGATAAGCCCCCCACCTGCAGACCCCCACAACCACTGGCCACAGTCGTGGGGAATAGGCCCTTGTCCCTGTCATACACCCGCTGGGCCCATTGTGAGGGGTTCCCACCATCCCTGTGCTGAGTTCCCGGGTCTGTACACCCGCTGTGCCCATTTATGAGGGGTTCCCACCATCCCTGTGCTGAGTTCTTGGGTCTGTACACCCCACTGTGCCCATTATGAGGGGTTTCCCACCCCCTTGTGATGAGTTCCCGGGTCTGTACACCCACTGTGCCCATTATGAGGGGGTTCCCACCATCCCTGTGCTGAGTTCCCGGGTCTGTACACCCACTGTGCCCATTTTGAGGGGTTCCCACCACCCCTGTGCTGAGTTCCCGGGTCTGTACACCAGCTGTGCCCATGGTGAGGGGTTCCCACCATCCCTGTGCTGAGTTTCCCGGGTCTGTACACATGCTGTGCCCATTATGAGGGGTTCCCACCATCCCTTGTGATGAGTTCCCGGGTCTGTATGCCCGCTGTGCCCATTATGAGGGGGTCCCACCATCCCTTGTGATGAGTTCCCGGGTCTGTATGCCCGCTGTGCCCATTATGAGGGGTTCCCACTATCCCTTGTGATGAGTTCCTGGGTCTGTACGCCCGCTGTGCCCATTATGAGGGGTTCCCGTTGTCCCTGTGCTGTCCAATATCCAATGCCAATCCTGGTAACAAATGGCTGTTTTTTAACCATTGCTCCCACCACCAGTTTCTGGGGGGCTTCCATACTCCGATAAGCCCCCCACCTGCAGAGCCCCACAACCACCGGCCACAGTTGTGGGGAAGAGGCCCTTGTCCCCATCAACATGGTGCTCATCCTCCCCTTTCCTGTATGCTTGGATAAGGGTCTGTTATGGATTTTGGAGGGGACCCCCACGCCATTTAAAAATTTTTTTTGTCGTGGGGGTTCCCCTGAAAATCCATAACAGACCCGAAGGGCTTGGCATGGATGGGAGGAGAGGACCCTAGTGGCATCCCGAAGAAGAAGCCGTGCTACAGTCAGAGATCGGCTTCTTCAACCTGAACCCAGCACATGCGCAGTTGCTTCCAGGGGCGGACTGACAACTCGTAGGGCCCCCGGGCAATAGGGGATCATGGGGCCCCTGTGTCCTTGCCCAAACTCAAAAAAGCCTATGAAAGGTACCAGGGGCATCTCATGGGGCCCCATACTGACCCCGGGCCCTCGGCCAGTGCCCGAGTTCCCAAATGGTCAGTCCGCCCCTGGTTGCTTCACGGGATACATATCTTCAAGGGATACTCATTTTACCGCTACACCGACACCGCTCCTTCCTCTCTGGAGGGGTGACATTACATGTTACTGCACCGGGTGACACCAACCCTAGGGGACACCTCTGTGCATTTAGAAAAAAAAAATTGTAATTGCCGAGCAATGTCGACAATTCTTTTGACATTCAGCTGTCAGCGGGGAACCCCACTGACAGCAGGAACATGAATGAACATCTCACTACTAAAATACCGTCTGACTTCATCGTAGAACTCACGCCCAGGGGCAGACTGACAACTCATGGGGCCCCCGGGAAATAGGGGATCATGAGGCCCCTGTGTCTTTGCCCAAACTCAAAAAATCCTATGAAATAGGTACCAGGGGCATCTCATGGGGCCCCTACTGACCCCGGGCCCTCGGGCAGTGCCCGAGTTTCCAAATGGTCAGTCCACCCCTGTTCACGGGATACTCATTTTACCACTACACTGGCACCACTCCTTCCTCTCTGGAGGGTTGACACCACATGTTACCGCACCGGGTGACAGCAACCCTAGGGGACACCTCTGTGCATTTAGAAGAAAAAAAAATTGAATTGCTGAGAAATGCCAACAATTCTTTTGACATTCAGCTGTCAGCGGGGAACCCCACTGACAGCGGGAACATGAATGAACGTCTCACTACTAAAATACCGTCTGACTTCATCGTAGAACTCACGCCCAGGGGCAGACTGACAACTCATGGGGCCCCCTGGGCAATAGGGGATCATGGGGCCCCTGTGTCCTTGCCCAAACTCAAAAAAGCCTATGAAAAAGGTACCAAGGGCATCTCATGGGGCCCCCTACTGACCTCAGGCCCTCGGGCAGTGCTCGAGTTTCCAAATGGTCGGTCCGCCCCTGCTCACGCCGGATTGTAGTAGCTGAGCCAGGGGCGGACTGATAACTCATGGGGCCCCCGGGGGTAATTGGGGATCATGGGGCCCCTGTGTCTTTGCCCACACTCAAAGCACACCCAAAAAAGCCTATAAAAAGGTAACAGGGGCATTTCATGGGGCCCCCTACTGACCACGGGCCCTCGAATGGTCAGTCCACCCTGAGCTGAGCGATCTCTTACCACATACTCAGATGCAGCAATTACCGCTCACTTGTTCTGTTCGCGTTCGAAGATCGCGGTCGAACATTCCGTAGGTTCGGATGTTCGATCGTGAACCGAACAAGGCGGTGTTTGGCCCATCACTACAAGAGAGTAATCCCAGGTCACATTCAGGTTCTGCTTGTATAGAAACAAATACTTTTCCTGTTATATTAATGACGGAGTCGCCTTCATTTGCGCCTTTTGACATTTTTTCCGTATGCCTGGAGTTCGGCTTTAAGACTTTAATTGTCATTCTTTGATCGTGCGGCACGCAGGGCTAATCCCGTATGTAGGCGATGCGTCTTCGGCGCTCGGCAGTGGCTCATGTGATCCGGCAAAGCATCCCTTTAGGTCTGAACCAAAGCAACAGACAGAACAGACATCAGGGATCTTCTTTGGGAGCAGCGGGGAGGAATCTTAAAAAACGATAAATTCTGACAAAGCCGCGGCGGCACAAAGAACGCAACGAAAGGCGGCTTGGAAACTGACGTAGGATGATTTGAAAGGAAATTTAAAATCAAACAGGAAAGGTCAGTCCGGTCCATCCACTATCAACAGGAATCCCTTTCCATTTGATGCCGATAAAAATGGAAGATGAGGACTATTTATAATTGGGTTTGTGGGAAGGCGGTGTGTTGCGGCGCAAAGACGAGAATTGCGGGACGCTCTGAAAGCCAACTTTCCATTTGATTTCCACATTTTGGGGACGACTTAGTACAGCCTTGCCCGACCTATTTTCCCGGAGCAGTGACTTCTAATTTTACCGCCCCTATTCTGATGTGGTGAAATGTCACATCGAGTGGACTGACCCTTTAACCCCTTGCCTGCCGGGCACTATCCCCCCCTTCCTGCCCAGGCCAATTTGCAGCTTTCAGTGTTGTGCACTTTGAATGACAATTGCGCGGTCATGCAACACTGTACTCATATATTACATATTTTAGCATTTATTTTGAGACAAATAGAGCTTTCTTTTGGTAGCATTTAATCACCACTAGGTGTTTTTATTTTTTGTTAAACAAACAAACAAATAAAAGACCAAACATTTTGAAAAAAAAAAAGTTTTTTTTTTAGTTTCTGTTAAAAAGTTTTTTAAAATAGTGATTTTTATCCTTCACTGATGTGTGCTGATGAGGTTGCACTGATGAGCACTGATAGGCAGAAAATGATGGGTATTGATAGGCAGCACTGATTGGCATGGATAAGCAGCACCGATGGGCACTGATAGGCGACACTGATGGAGATTGATAAGCGGCACTGATGGGCACTGATAGGCAACATTGATGGGTACTGATAGGTGGCACTGATGGATAAGCGGCACTGATAGGCAGCATTGATGGGCATTGATAGGCAGCACTGATGGGCACTTATAGGCAAAACTGATGGGCATTGATAAGTGGCACTGATGGGCACTGACAGGCAGCACTGATAGGTGGCACTGATGGATAAGCGGCACTGATAGGCAGCACTGATGGGCACTGATAGGCACCACTGATGGGCACTAATAGGCAGCACTGATGGGCATTGACAGGTGGCACTGATAGGCAGCACTGATGGGCATGGATAGGCAGCACTGATGGGCATGGATAAGCAGCACTGATGGGCACTGATAGGCAGCACTGATGGGCACTGATAGGTGACACTGATGGACATTGATAAGCGGCACTGATAGGCAGCATTGATGGGCATTGATAGGCAGCACTGATGGGCACTGATAGGCGGCAATGATAGGCAGCATTGATGAGCATAGATAAGCGGCACTGATTGGCGGCACTGATGGGCACTGACAGGTAGCACTGATAGGCACTGACAGACAGCACTGATAGGCACTGACAGGCAGCACTGATGAGGCACTAATAGCCAGCACTGAAAGCCAGAGAATTGCTGCTTATCGGCTCTCCTCTCTGTGATTGGCCCCCCACCTTGGACACGTGATCAGCTGTGCGTGCCCAGGGGGCGTGCGGTTCTGAGAGGACGTCCATGTGCGCCCTCCCAGAACTAGCCGACCGCGCTGTAGCCATCTTTTGGCTATAGTGCGGTCGGGAAGGGGTTAAATTGTTCCTAAACCCACAACAGTCCAATCAGTCTGTAGATGCAGTAAAGCATTCTTGTTACACTCACTGTGGGACCTAAGGGGTTACTCTTACTCACGCTTACTCTTACTTTGTAAGCGTGCCCCTGAAGACGTGCATGCGCACGAAACGTGTTGGGTGGAGCCTTACGTGCTGACGTCACGCCGCCGCGGCTGGAGCTTTGAGAGGTGGCCATTTTGGTGGATCCTTTGCTGGTTTTGCATAGCCCTGACCCTGGAGAAGTCCGGTCCCTATTTATGGCCTCCGGAGACCCCCCCATAAGGATCGGCATTAACACGATTATACAAGTAGCGTTCTGAGCGCACATCCATAGAAGGTGGTGGATTCCTATGTTGGATCATGAGCACTCTTGAGCATCCCAGCTGGTATTGCTGCACCTTGTAGTTCCACGAACACCGGGCATTGCTGTGACCTGTAGTGCCACGGACTATGTATAATCACCATTATTGCTAAATAAGCACACACGTATCACTCGACACTTCTGGGACCTGCAGTGCCACGGACTAGCCACTATTTATATTCAGAATTTTAGAGTTTTTGTAATGATTCTGTGCGATCTGAGACGAATTATTGGATTTATTTCGCTGGAATATAGTATGAACGCTTCTATTCACATCAGCACCTTATGATGGCATTTGTCGCTTATGCTTTAGCGCTGCACTAACATTGAGGTCTTCAGGTCAGCCTACGGTCTCTCAGTGTCTCCTCAGCATCCGCAGCCTCACCTTCCAGTCCCCGGCACAGATTCTCCCGGCTGCTCTGTTATTGTACTGTCTTGGTCAGGGGCGGACTGACCATTTGGAAACTTGGGCACTGCCTGAGGGCCCGGGATCAGTAGGGGGCCCCATGAGATGCCCCTGGTACCTTTTTCATAGGTTTTTTCAAGTTTGGGCAAGGACACAGGGGCCCCATGAGTTGTCAATCCGCCCCTGGTCTTGGTTAGAAGGATGAACCTAGGGTCACATCTGTGCGGGTGGTGCCGCTGTGGATCTGCATGAAAATCCGTGCAGCCACACCACCCGCACAGAGGAAGGCGGACCCGCGGGCGGGTGATATTAGTTCTAAGGGCCCGCCGCCCGCACTGGAAAATGCAATCGTTCTGGGAACCGAGGTTCCCGTGTGGGCTGCGTTTCCCAAAGTAGTGCAGAGACTTCTTCCCTGCGTGTCATAGGCACGGGAGTTCATTCAAATGAATGGGCTGTCGTGCCCATGCAAAACGCAGCCCGCACTGCCGCATATATGTGAACCGGGGATTACTGACAGCCTAAAAACCAACCAATCTGGTGCTTGCTCCAGCATTCACAAAAGGATAGCACTTCCTCCATCAAGACCTGCTCAGCCTCTGCCTGCTGCTACAGCCACGGTCCTGGGCTCTCCAGTCTCCCAGCCATGTGTGTAAAGATAGACTCAGATGTAAGGGGGATGCTGATGTAAGGGGGGGGAACTCTGATGTAAGGGGGACTCTGATGTAAGGGGGGGGGGAACTCTGATGTAAGGGGAACTCTGATGTAAGGGGGGGGGACTCTGATGAATAAGGGGGGAACTCTGATGTAAGGGTGGGGGGAACTCTGATGTAAGGGGGGGAACTCTGATGTAAGGGGGGAACTCTGACATAAGGGGGGGGGGGGGGCTCTGATGTAAGTGGAGGAAACTCTGATGTAAGGGGGACTCTGATGAAAGGGGGGGACTCTGATGTAAGGGGGACTCTAATGTAAGGGGGTGAACTCTGATATAAGGGGGACTGTGATGTAAGGGGGGGGAACTCTGATCTCTGATGTAAGGGGGAGGACTCTGATGTAAGGGGGGGACTCTGATGTAAGGGGGGAAATCTGATCTCTGATGTAAGGGGGGGAACTCTTATGTGGGGGGGGGGTGGCTCTGATGTAAGGCGGATGCTGACGTGGTAACGCAAATGGTCAGAACAGCACCAGTTGCACAGCTCCTGATGTTCACAAGATGTCTTTTGGCACACCCGACTTATGAAGGTTGGTGTTCCCTGTGAGTGACTGTGTGTAGTGCTGCCTTCTGTTGGCGTGTCGCAAAACTAATCTCGAAACGTTTTGATAACCACCTTGTATATCCTGGGAGTGATCAGGAGTTCCCAGACACAGATTGCTCATTACCTGGATCAATGCAGCTTTAGGGAGCCAACAAGGACCTTTCATTTGCCTGGTGGGCCCGGGGCTTCTTACAATGTGCATTAGAAGCTGCAGCAAGTCAGACAGAGCTCCGCCCCATTTCCTGGTTGGAAGGCGTTCAGACGATCATCCAGCTCTGTCCTCTCCAACCTGACTGTCCCGGGGTACAGGGTGCCTAAGGAAAAGGGAAGGTTTTATTTAAAAATGTCAAACTTCAGCTTTAACCTATTGCTGAACAATGAATACATTATATTGCCAAAAGTATTGGCCCCGCCCTCCAGTCATGTGATTCAGGTGTTCCAATCCCCACCATATCATGTGATTCAGGTGTTCCAATCCCCTCCATATCATGTGATTCATGTGTTCCAATCCCCTCCCAATCATGTGATTCAGGTTTTCCAATCCCCTCCATATCATGTGATTCAGGTGTTCCAATCCCCTCCATGGAGACTGCTTCTACAAACATTGGTGAAAGAATGGGTCGCTCTCAGGAGCTTAGTGACTCCAAGCGTGGTCCCGTGATAGGTGGCCACCTGTGTAATAAGTCCATCCGTGACATTTCCTGGCTACTAAATATTCCATAGTGTTCTCTGGAGTGACCACTCACACTTCTCTGGCAATCCGATGGACGTGTCTGGGTTTGGCAGTTGCTGGGAAAACGGTACTTGCCTGACTGCATTATGCCAAGTGTAAAGTTTGGTGGAGGGGGATTATGGTGGGGGGTTGTTTTTCAGGGGTTGGACTTGGCCCCCCTAGTTCCAGTGAAGGGAACTCTTAAGGCGACATTTTGGACAATTTCATGCTCCCAACTTTGTGGGAGGAGTTTGAGGATGGCCCCTTCCTGTTCCAACATGACTGCGCACCAGTGCACAAAGCAAGGTCCATAAAGACATGGAGGAGCCAGTTTGGGGTGGAGGAACTTGACTGTCCTGCACAGAGTCCTGACCTCAACCCCATAGAACACCTTTGGGATGAATTAGAGAGGAGACTGTGAGCCAGGCCTCCTCCCCCGACATCAGTGCCTGACCTGACAAATGTGCTTCTGGAAGAATGGTCCAACCTTCCCATAGACACCCTCCTAAACCTTGTGGACGGCCTTCCCAGAAGAGTTGAAGCTGTTATAGCTGCAAAGGGCGGGGCCAACTCAATATTGAACCCTACGGACTAAGACTGGGGGGCCATTAGAGGTCATGTGTGTGGAAAGGGCGGGGCCAACTCAATATTGAACCCTACGGACTAAGACTGGGGGGCCATTAAAGGTCATGTGTGTGGAAAGGGCGGGGCCAACTCAATATTGAACCCTACGGACTAATGCAGGCCATAGTGGGGTCGAAAAACTGTCCATTTAAAAAAAAAAAAACAAACGAAAAATCAGTCGATTTTTGTCCCGTCTACGGCCGGCATTTAACCCCATAATTACTTCTGTCCCTTGCAGAGAGCTCTGCTATTATATTTTACATGAAAGTCTTGCAGTTGCAACAATGTATCCATTTCATCCATCTGAGGATTGCAGTGATCTATCAGCCTCCTGGACCGGAGTCCCGCTTTCTTGATGATTTCTCCTCCTGGCTACCCTACTTTCTCTCCTCTGAACTACCCACTATCATTCTCGGAGATTTTAACATCCCCATTAATGTCAACAACCCGGCTACATCCCAACTCCTCAACCTAACCTCATCTTTTGCATTAACATGATGGACACCGTCCTCCACTCACTCTGATGGACACCGTCCTCCACTCACTCTGATGGACACCGTCCTCCACTCACTCTGATGGACACCGTCCTCCACTCACTCTGATGGACACCGTCCTCCACACTCACTCTGATGGACACCGTCCTCCACTCACTCTGATGGACACCGTCCTCCACTCACTCTGATGGACACCATCCTCCACTCACTCTGATGGACACGGTCCTCCACTCACTCTGATGGACACGGTTCTCCACTCACTCTGATGGACACGGTCCTCCACTCACTCTGATGGACACGGTCCTCCACTCACTCTGATGGACACGGTCCTCCACTCACTCTGATGGACACCGTCCTCCACTCATTCTGATGGACACCGTCCTCCACTCTCTCTGATGGACACGATCCTCCACTCACTCTGATGGGAATACATTAGACCTTGTTTTCTCCCATCTTTGCACTCCCTACAACCTCACAAACACCCCCTTTCCTCTCTCTGATCACAATCTCATCACC